ACTAAACCCGCTCATGACTCGTGAGACCTATGTAACCTAGGTTCTGATACTGACTTGTCATGACCCTAAACCCGGATCCGATCGTGATGGCGACTCTCGTGAAGACAAGGCCAACCGACAAGCTTCCAATTCACTTTAAGCAATTAAAATAATGATTACTAAGTCTTTAACGGAAATAAAATCCCAAAATAAACAGTGAACAGTATAATTTGCGGAATTAAAACCAACACAGCTCGACATCGGGGTGTCACCAGTCATGAGCATCTAAAATAATACTACAAGTCTGAAAGTCTACTCCACTACTACATAACTGAAACAGAAGGAAATAAGATAGAGGGAGAATGCACTGGATTGCGTATCGCCGAGTAGCTACCTAGTGAATCTCCGGAAATCTGCTGGACAGCTCTCAACCCTCGCTAGCAGGACCTGTAGCGCCCGGATCTGCACACAGGGGTGCAGGGACTAATGTGAGTACTCCAACTCAGTGAGTAATAACAATAAATGAAGACTGAGCGATATAAAATCACGTTAAACACAACATTAAGCTACAAGAGGCAGAACAAAATCAGTAAACATAATTAAACAGTGAAATCTCGTAAAACACCTTTTAAGCAGTCAAACAATATATAGGAAAAACAACTAGAAATGGTAAACACATATGAACTGCCCCTCGGGCAAAGTAACAACAGAATCGGCCCCTCGGGCAATATCACAGAACAATACCAGCCCCTCGGGCTATATCTCATATCTCAATGGGTACCCGCGCTCACTGAGGGTGTACAGACTCCGGGAGGGACCCCTTACGGCCCAAGCGCAATATCAAGCCATCTCGTGGCATCATAAACAGGCTCTCGGCCTCATATCAATCACAAGCCACCTCGTGGCATACAATCTCAGGCCCTCGGCCTTATTATCATAATCAGTATGTCACTTCTCCGGCGTGCAGCCCGACCCAAAAGTAACCTCACAATATAGGCCCTCGGCCTTACTTAGTCAGAATCTCATAAGCCCCTCGGGCAACAGTAAACATGATGCTCAACTCAAAATATCTTTTAAAATATCATTTAAAGTGTTTAAAACAGAGTAACATGGCTGAGTTTTGCAAGTAGTAAAATATAACATGACTGAGTACAAGTATAGAGGCATAACAGTGAGGAAAATAGCGGTAAATATCCCCTACGGGTTCAAACAGTTGGCACGAAGTCCAAATATGGCATTTAGCCCAAAACATGATAATATCAGACAATTTGTAGTCAAATACGCAGTAAAACAACCATACGGGATGGACTAAGTCACAATCCCCAACGGTGCACGACCCCACGCTCATCATCTAGCGTGTGCGTCACCTTAATATAGCCGAACATTGTGTAATCCGGGGTTTCATACCCTCAGGACAGCATTTAAAATCATTACTCAGCTCAATCCGGCCCAAACTCTAGCTCGCAATGCCTTTGCCCCTCGAATTGGCCTCCGGATGCTCCGAATCTACCAAAATCAGAACGTAATCATCAAAATATGCTAAAGGGACAAAACCCACTCGAAAATAATCGAAAAGCAACGCAAATCCCGAAATTACCAAAACCCGACCCACGGGCCCACGTCTCGGAATTCGATAAATTTTACGTCATTAGATTCCTTATCTCCCCACGAGTTCATACATATCAAAAGTTCCAAAATCCGACCTCAAATGGTCCTTCAAATTCTCAATCAAAGGCCTAAGTTTCTAAGCCTAGTTCCTCCATTTTTGGCTTAAATTCCATTAATTTCAGCCCCAATCCGTGAATTAATACAGTAGGAACGAGTTTTAGGTCCAAACTCCTTACCTCAATGAAGCTCCATTGAAATCCTTCTTCAAAAATCGCTCAAAACTCCCGAAATCGCTTTTAAAACTGGTGAAACCCTCTAAAAATCGCGAAGGAAATAACTCATATGTTCTGGTCCAGGGATTTCGCATCTGCGACCAAATTCCCGCTTTTGCGGTACCGCATTTGCGGTCCTTGAACCGCTTCTGTGGTTTTCACTTAAACCTCCCAACGCCACATCTGCGGTGCCTAGCCCGCACCTGCGCCATCGCAGGTGCGGTTCTTCTACCGCTTCTGCGGTCCTTGCCAACCTCACCATCTTCCGCTTTTGCGACTCCTATCCGCATCTGCAGGGGTCGCACCTGCGATCCTTCAATCGCAGATGCGGTTACGACAGCAATCAAAAAGGCTTCAGCTCTCAAACTCAATCCCAAACCTTCCGTGAACCATCCGAAATCCCACCGAGGCCCCCGGAACCTCAACCAAAAGCACCAACAAGTCTTATACTACCATTCAAACTTATATCAACCTTCAAAACACCTCAAACAACATCAAAACCACCAAAACACATCGAATTCAAGCCTAAGCTTCTAAAATCTTCCGAATTCCGCTTTTGATCAAAAAGCCAACCAAACCGCATCCGAATGACTTGAAATTTTGCATAACTTATTTTCCGGGAGCAGTGTTTTGGAGAGCGAGAAGCGGAAAAAAGCGAGGAGGCCTCGCTTCACCGAAGCGAGAAGCGCGAGCGAAGCGCGCGCTTTTTTCATGTGAAGCGCAATTTAACACATAAATAAAAAAAATTATATATGCATAGATAAATGGTCAAGAACTCAATAAAAATAACATATTAAGCAAATGTTTCAATTCTTAAATCAAGAAGTAAATAATAGATACTAAAACTAGATAGTAAATAATCCTCAAAAGTCATAACATATTAAGCAAATGCAAAACAAAACCACAAAAGGAGCAACATCCTATTCTTCAACAAGATCTCCAAACTCTTGAAGTGTCATCATGTTCGAGTTATTATACTGTTCATCATTTTCTTCTTCTTCATCGGAGGCTTCATCAATTAGGATTCTACTTGTACATGTACTTGTACTTGTAGATGCTCTTTCTTTGCTCCTTAAAGTACTTCCCCTACAACCATACATTCTCCTCAACTCCACTTGCCATAGCAACATGACCAAAACTGAGACCTTCTCCTTCAAATACTTTTTCTTCTTCATGATTGCGGGGGCTCCGGTTAACCATTCATTTGCTTCATCCATGTTATCCAATAAAATTGGATCAATGATATTGCGAGCTTTGTAACGACGAGCCAATATTCTTATATTTTACGAACACGAGATCATTGAGTTTCTTTAGCTCAAGCATATTCCTCTTCTTAGTATGAATCTGCATATAAGTTGTAGAAAGTAATTAAGAGGAGTACTTAGGACAATTGAGATACATTTTAATTTAGTAATAATGTAATATAGCTTCTCACATGTTCATAAACACTCAAATTTCTCTCGCATCCGGATGAGCTAAAAGTTAAGCTTTGAACTCTAATTGCAAATTGTTGCAAGTTTGGAACTTCATAACCAAATTGCATCCACCATTCAACTGTAGAAGTATTATTTTAAAAGTTAATAACTTAAAAATTAAAGCTCTAAAGAGTAAAACAATTGAAAAAACTTGCTCACCTGTTGCCAATTTGGTTCTGCCTCTGATGGCCGAAGCTAATCCAAGTATTCAATCGGCTTGCATATACACACCAAGCTCTTCCCCTATTTTGTCTTGCCTCGCTTCATCTGGCACCAACTTCGCAACACATGCATGATACCCCTTCCACATGTCTATATCTAAAGTCTTCTTCTCGTTGTATAAAAGAATCCGGGGTTCAAAATATGCCCTGTTGCATGTAAAGGTTGATTAAGCTGATCCGTCCACCTTTTATTACTGATTTCAAAAACTCTCTCATATTTCCTCCTATCATGATCAAATGCCTTCTCAATAGCTTCTTTAGCCCTATCCATGGCTTCATAAATGTATCCCATTGGGGATTTTCTCTCCCCATCCACCAAACGAAGTATAGTAACCAAAGGATTACAAACTTTAAGTGCTTGAACAGTGTCATTCCAAAAATATGAACCAACAATAAATCTCGCAACTTCTTTCCCAAGAGCTTCCTTTGCGCTTTTTCCATCGCACGCTTTTTGTAACACTGTCCAAGAGTAGATATCAACTAACTTTCTTGTTCAAATGTTGACTATTATCACATACTATCATTTAGTGATGTAGTCAATGTTTGGTTGCTTTAGGAATTTCCTCAAATCAAGCTTTCTCATATTACATAATCCCTAGACTTTTAATTCCAATATTACTTTCTTCTATGTAGCCTATGATCTAACTTCTAGATTTATGAGCTGATGTGTAGCGGTCATAATAGAAATATTTTATCACTAAACCCTCAAAACAATAATTAAAAAAACACATCTCCTCAATTTAGGTTTTTGAGCAGTTAGCAGTAATATTACAAGTAAAATTATATATACATGTACTTGGAGCCTGGTTAGATGTTTGAAGGGGGAGAAAAGAGTAAATGGACAAAAGTTTACTTACATTAGGGAGGTATAATGCCATAGAATAAGAGTAATTTTAAACAGCAGCAGATTAACTCAACGGCGAGATATATCTTGAGTACAGGCTATAGCAGCAATATATACTAAGATAACTAAAATTGCTAAGGATATACTTAAGTAGTGTGTTTAACACTGTTGCTACTGCTGATTATCAGCTAGTTGTCACGGCTACGCCCACGTCCACTGTCACCACGCCGTCCATCCCTAGAACCTAGCCTAGCAATCAATGAAGTTTGAATGGACCATGGAAGACCAGGTTTCAAATCACAGCAAAGGCAAAAAAAAAATGACTACGTGATTTTCTTCATGTTTACTTTAGCCTTGATAGATAGAGGTACTCAGTACTTGTACTGATGAAAGGTGACAGATAACCAGTGAATTAGTTGATGTGTGAGTAAGCTAGACCGGACACAATCTTTATTACGAAAAAAGGGGGGGGGGGGGGGGGGAAGGGGGGGGGTAAACTACCTAATTTCAGTAGTGGCGCGATCACATTGC